TGGTGCAAAATTACTGCCAGGTAGCTTCTAGAAGCCTGGAAAACTGATGGCCTGTGAAGAGTGAGGTTGAAATGCTTAAATTTCTGGGGCAGACCGTAGGAGGAAGGATTAAAAGACTCAGGAAAGTGGAAATGCTGGGATAGGTATATGATTTTAGGGCCAGAAGACCCCCCGATGATAGCCACCCATGTTTCTAACTCTCTATCTCTCTCCTTTCCTCTCTGTAAAAAATCAATAAAATATATTTAAAAAAAAAAAGTTTGAGGACCCCTGTCTTAGACTGTAAGCTGAATGGCCTCAGCTTGTCATACTGGATGAGGTTTGCCCAAACAACAGGCCTAAAGCTGCATCAGCAAAGATGCTAAGGACCCTTTTCTTCTGGCTGGGGCCTGTGGGTGAGATACTGATCTACACCATGGAAAGAATCGTCAGGTATTTCCTCCTCATCAGGAAAACTGTACCATTATATGATTTGCTCTGTGGTATAGGCATCAGGGAGCAAAGCAGGAACTGAAGCCTCCAGCCTCTCCAACGGAGGATCTTGCATTTGGACATCACTTGTGGGACTCTTGGTGATGACAGAGTCCCGTGCCAAATTGCAAGGGCCTGCGGGCTGAGGTGGAAGGAGCTATGGGAACCTGAAACTACAGGGAGTGGCGGGGGGAGAAAAAGGACTGGTTGATGTTGTGTGTGAGGTGGGCACATTCTTGGTTGGAAGAATCTGATTTGGTTGCCTTAGTAATAGCTGCTGCTGCTGCTATTGCTTCCTCGATCTGACTGGTCAGTTCCTGAACCAAGTTGGGACCAGCTGGATTCTGCGGTATCAAGTTCATGCTGGAATCATCCATGTGGTTCAAAAGGTCTGGCTGGGGATTCTCTGGGGCCATTCTGTTCATCACAAGTATTGACATCTGGGGTGGAAGGCTGTGGTCAACTTTGTCTTGCTGTAGCTGTGTTCACTCATGTAGACAAAAGAGCAGGTCTGGGGAGTCCCAGGGCTCCTCTGCTCACATGGGCACCAGAGGGCTGCCTTGGTAGGTCTGTCCTGAATGCCCTGGGAGTGCCCCTTTTCAAGCCCGCTGGAGGCTGGAGGAGGCTTCCGAAAATGCAGTTTCTGTAGTGGGAACTTCTGAATGAAGCTGGTGCCCCGTCGCCACTGCGTGCCTGACACCCTGGATGAATGTGACTCCTCTGAGCCATCCTGGGGAGCCTAATCCTCGGGGGGTCTTCTGGCCCTAACATCATATACCTATCCCAGCATTTCCACTTTCCTGAGTCTTTTAATCCTTCCTCCTACGGTCTGCCCCAGAAATTTAAGCATTTCAACCTCACTCTTCACAGGCCATCAGTTTTCCAGGCTTCTAGAAGCTACCTGGCAGTAATTTTGCACCATCCCCCTGATCCTTGCCAGGATGCTAAAGCTTGTATCCTGCCAGAGTGCTCCTATGTCAATAAATTCTCCTGTGTATAGTCTTAGATTCCAGTTTCCTTGATAGAGCAGTTTTTTTCAGAATGGTAAGGTTGGAAATCAAAATGGATCACTCATTTTATTTTTTATATATTGGTTTCAGAGAGGAAGGGAGAGGGAGAGAGAGATAGAAACATCAATGATGAGAGAGAATCACTGATGGGCTGCCTCCTGCACGCCCATCATTGATGTTTCTATCTCCCTCTCCCTTCCTCTCTGAAATCAATAAAAATATATATTTTTAGAAGATAGAAGATTGACAAGGAGGCAGACATAAGAAGAGAAAAGGAGAGGGATTATTCAGGTAGCTAGAGGGAGATTTGTTTGTTTGCTTGCTTGTATATTACTGTTTTAATGGACGATCTGGGCATATGTGAACATTTCAGAGAGGTGCACAGCTGGGGGAAGTGCAAAGCTGTAGTTTCTAGGGCACATCCGTGTGGTATCAGGCCATGCGAGTCTGTTGAACCAGCACCAATCAAAAAGGGAAGCAAAACTTACACGGCAGCGATGAGTCAGCTATGCCAAGTCATAGAAATTAGAAGTACATAAACACCAGAGGGTTGAGTCAGATGTAATGTCCAAAGTCCATGTAAACAGGTGTTTTCCAGGAGATAGTGGGGTCACGGGAGGTGTTCGTCAGCCAGACAGAGCAGAGCAGACATAGGGAGCAGACGAGGGGTTTCCCCTAGATTGAACCTGCCTAGCAGCTAGGGTCCTTCAGAAGAACTGAACTGGGAAAGGAGGAAGCTGTAGGTGTCGTGGAGGGGTTAACTTTATAGTGAGAAGGGTTGTTTCCCTCTTTGAGGATAAATGTATAGGCTTTGCTTCCATGGTGTTAAAATGAGGAGCTTCAGGCCGCAAACCTTCTCCTAACACTTGTCTGAAAGCAGAGGCAACAAGCAAGTAGTTGTCTCGAGGTGGGGCTGAGTTTGTGATGAGAAAGCCTGATACCATCCTCAGCGAACCAACCCCCAACGCTTCTCCCATCCTGTGTCATCCCCTCCCGCACTGAGTAAGACTGGTCTGTACAATCAATAGGATATTGCAGACGCAACAGTGTGAGTTCCAAGACTAACTCATAAAAAACATTGTGACTTTCACCTTGTTCACTCTCTCCTCACTGGCTCTGGGGAAGCCGGTTGTTATGTTGTGTGGACATTCAACCAGCCCGATGGAGAGGTCCATGTGGCAGGGAACAAAGACCTCCTGCCAACAGCCAACACTAATTTGCCTGGCATGTGGGTGAGCCAGGTGACTACAGCCCCAGCTTGACTTCAACCTCAGGAGCGACTCTGAGCCAGAACCACCCAGATGAGCAGCTCAGCAGAAACTATGGGAGGCCCTGACCAGCGTTGCTCGGTGGTCAGAACGTTGGCCCACGCACTGCAGGGTCAAGGCTTCAGTTCCCGGTCAAGGACATGTGGGAGGCAACCAATTGATGTTTCTCTCCCCCACCCCACACTCCCTTGCCTCCCTTCCTTCCACTCTCTCAAAAAAATCAGTGGAAAAAATATCCTCAAGTGAAGATTAACAAAAGAAAAATTTTTTAACTATGGGAGATAAAAATGTTGATTGTTTTAATCTATGAAGTCTTGTGGTAAATTGTTATGCAGCAATGGATAATTAATACAATGTGCCCAAACACACAAAGTTCCCAAACACAAAGTAACATGGACTGTTTAGGAAACTGGGTAAGTAACCAGGTCCAGAGGAGGACTGGAAGAATGCCATTGAGCGGTTTTCAACCTGTGGGTCGCGACCCTTTCACAAGGGCCGCCTAAGACCATCGGAAAACACATATATAATTACATATTGTTTTTGTGATTAATCACTATGCTTTACGTTCAATTTGTAACAATGAAATTGGGGGTCACCACAACATGAGGAACTGTATTAAAGGGTCACGGCATTAGGAAGGTTGAGAACCACTGGATCATTAAGGGAAGAGAGCAGATGAGAGGGAGTGGGAATTACAACAGGTTACCAGGTCGTGTGTGGCTGGAGAGCGAACACAGGGAATGTGAGATCTCTGAGACCAGTGAATGGAAGGTTAAGGCGTAAGGCAGGCAAAGAGAGGCCCAGCAGCAGGCTGCATCTGGGTAGGGCTTCTTCCCATGGCTTGGGCTTCTTCCTTGAGTACTACTCCACCTGGGATAGATAGAATAGGATTGAGCCTGGGCCCTGAATGCAGGCACTGAGTCAGATGCTGACAAGATCACCTGAGCATTTACTATGTTGAATGTCCTCAAAAGGAGTCAGGAGCTTTGGCTAGAAATAAGTGGCAAAGATTTACTTAAAGGTCTTAGAGTTTGCAAACTTGGAATACAGCTAGGCAAAGGAGAAAGAAAAGCTGAGGGTTCTTATATGTTAAAAGTACCTTCTTGAGAAGACTCAGTCCTGCATTCTTAGCCTCTGGGTTGGTTCAAGATGGTAATCTTCAGAGGAATGGTGGTCTGGACAATGGAACAATCCCTTCTTGAGGTCACTCAGATATTCATCTGAGGGTCAGGTGTGTGTCTAGGCATTGATGCACAATGATCTGATGTGCATCCAGGCATTAACGAAGAGCTGGACAGTTCAGAAGTTTAAGTTCCTAGAATCAGTTAAAATAAGAATAGAATCATTTTCTCATGCCTCAGCCTACTTAATTTTAATAATTTAGCAGCTTGACCAGAATGACTCCATTTTATTTCTTTACTCTATTCCTTAACTACATGTTAAATGCTTAATAATGTGAAGACTTAAATAAAATGTGGCATATCCATACAATGGGATATTGTTCAGCCATAAAAATAAATGAGGTATTGGTACATGCTACAACATGGATGAGTCTTGAAAACATTATGCTAAGTGAAAGAAGCCAAACATATATTGTCACATATATGATTTCACTTATATGTAATATCCAGAATAGGCAAATCCATAGAGACAGAAAATAGATTAATGGTTGCCAGGGGCTTTCGGGAATGGGGAGTTACCACTAATGAGTATAAGTTTCTTTTGGGAATGATGAAATGTTTTAAAATTATAAAATGGTGATGGACATTCTTGTGAATATTCTAAAAGCCACTACAGTGTACACTTTAAAATTGTAAATTTTATGGCAGGCAAATTATACCTCATTAAAAATTTAACTGAAGCATATATAGCACTGACAATGTGCTCAGTACTATTCTAAATGCTTTCTGTATATAATTCATTTAACTTTTATTTATTTATTTTTTTTGGTGAATTTGCATATTAACCTTTTATTATATGGGATGCTCAAGCAGTACCAAGATTCACTGGCTTTTCATTAATAATCAATGTTGCTTTGTTTATTGATTCTGACATATTATTCAGAACCTATTATGTGCCAGGTATTGTGAGGCACTAAGAAGCTCCAGAAAGAAAAAAGACTAAAACAAATATCCATTCCAAAACCACAAGGGTATAAATTGATGATAGTTCCCATTTTATTCCTGGATATTAGAAGAGTTCCAGGAGAACCTGAGGCTGCTTGATGTGATTTTAATTGGGGGTATTTCCATCTGCTGGGGTCCAACCCCAGCAGGTCCAGGGGTCCCCAAAGGTGTGGACGGAGTCGGCGAAGAAGGAATGACACGGAGACAGCCTTCAGTTGATCAGCAGCCTAGTCAGGACCTCTAGCCAGGATCTCCTGCCAAAGTTCTGGTCAGGATCTCCAGCCAAGTTCTGGTTAGGATCTGATCAGGATCTCCAGCGAAGTTCTGGCCAAGTTCTGGTTAGGAACTGATCAATTTATTTAACTTTAAAAAAAATATTTTTATTAATTTTTAGAGGGAGAGAAAAGGAGAGGGAGAAAGAGAGAAAGAGAAACATCAATGAGAGCAGAACATCAATCGGCTACCTCATGCACAGATTGAGCCTTCAACCCGGGCTTGTGGCCTGGGACGAAGCCCAACCAAGCCACATCGGCCAGGGCTAATTTATTTAACTTTAAAAAAAAGTTTATTGATTTGTACAGAGAGAGGGAGGGAGAACAGAGAAACATAGATATGAAATCCAGCACCATTTGTTGAAGAGACTGTCTTTACTCCATTGTATGCTCTTGCCTCCTTTGTCAAATATTAATTGACCGTAATAGTGTGGGTCAATTTCTGGGGTCTCTGTTCTGATCCATTGGTCTATATGCCTGTTCTTCTGCCAATACCAGGTTGTTTTGGTTATAATGGCTTTGTAGTATAGTATAGTATCAGGTATAGTGATCCCTCCTACTTTGTTCTTTTTTCTCAAGATTGCTGCAGCTATTCAGGAGTCTTTTATGGTTCCATATAAATTTTTGGAATCATTGTTCCAGTTGTGTGAAGTATGCCATTGGTATTTTAATAGGGATTGCATTGAATCTAGATTGCTTTGGGTAGTATAGACATTTTAATGATGTTAATTCTTCCAATCCATGAACATGGTATATGCTTCCATTTGTTTGTATCTTCCTAGAGAGAAACATCGATCAGCTGCCTCCTGCACACCCCCTACTGGAGATGTGCCCGCAACCAAGGTACATGCCCTTGATTGGAATCGAACCTGGGACCTTTCATTCCGCAGGCTGACGCTCTATCCACTGAGCCAAACCGGTCAGGGCGTCATTGGTATTTTAATAGAGATTGTGTTGAATCTGTATATTGCTTTGGGTAGTACAGACATTTTAATGATTAATTCTTCCAATCCATGAACATGGTGTACACTTCCATTTGTTTATACTAGTATCTTCCTCTATTTCTTTTTTCAATGTTCTGTAGTTTTCTAGGTACAGATCTTTAACCTCCTTGGTTAAGTTTATTCCTAGGTATCTTATTTATTTGTTGTTGCAGTAGTAAATGGGATTGATTTTTTAGTTTCTCTTTCTGAGAGTTCATTACTAGTGTATAAAAATGCCATCAATTTGTGTGTGTTGGTTTTGTATCCTGCTACCTTGTCAAATACATTTATTAAGTCTATTAGTTTCTTGGTGGAGTCTTTAGGGTTTTTTATGTACAATATCATGTCATCTGTGAATAATGAGAGTTTTACTTCCTCCTTTCCAATTTGGATGTGTTTTATCTCTTTTTGTTGTCTAATTGCTATGGCTAGGACTTCCAGTACTATCCTATATAATAAAGAGGTAATATGCAAGTTGACCATCACTCCAACACAAGATGGCCACCCCCATGTGGACACAAGATGGCCAGCAGGGGAGGGCAGTTGGGGGGGGACAAGGCCTCCAGGGGTTCTTTTAAAAAAATTATTGTATACTAGTATTTTTATTGGTTTCAGAAAGGAAGGGAGAGGGGGAGAGAGATAGAAACATCAATGAGAGAGAGAACCATTGATCAGCTGCCTCCTGCACGCCCCACACTTGGGATCAAGCACACAACCCGGGCCTATGCCCTGACCAGAATTTGAACTGTTTATAGGTCAACGCTCAACCACTGACCTACACGGGCCGGGCAAATTTTCATTCTTTTGTTCACTAGTTTCACAAATATTCTACCTTACCATCAAAAAGAATATTGGCCGTAGTTGGTTTGGCTCAGTGGATAGAGCATCAGCCTGTGAACAGTTAGGGGCGACCAGGCTGGCAGGGGAGGTTACATAACCTCTTCGAGTTTTTGTTTTCTGAGGTAAGAAAACCCATCTCACTGATATGCTTAAGACTCATCTGACATCATTTACAAGCAAGAGGCAGTATAATAGTATAATGGTTAAGTGTGCAGCCTCTGGAGGTAGACTGCCTGGGTTCAGTTCTTGGCTCTATCACTTATTTAAGCTGTGTGACTGGGGCAAGTCACTTAACCTCTCTGGGCCTTGATTTTCTCACCTGATAATAATAACAAAAGTACCTACCTCCTAGGTTCATTGGTTATGAAAGTGCACAGGAAGAAAAATTCTTTTCTACCCAAATTCTTCTGGCTGATATAATAATCAAATTGACATGAGACAAATAACCAGGAGAACATAAACAAATTTATTACATTTGTATATATGGAGGTTCCATAAGAAACTGGGACCTGAGGACAAAACCGTCAGTTAAGGCTCATATGCTGTCTTGAACTATGTAGAAAGGGGGGTTGTGGTTTGGGACTTCAAAGCAGAGGAAATTGCCCTGGCCAAGTAACTCATTTGGTTAGAGCTTTGTCCGGATGCACCAGGGTTCCAGTTCAGTTTCTGGTCTGTCGGGGCACATA